GCAGAGACAGTGACTGAGACTGGGCATGGTTGTGCACCTGTAATCCCAGTGCTTGGAAGGCTGAAAACAGGAGAATCACTACGAGTCTGATCTACGCAATAAGACCCTGTAGACCCTGTACCAAATACAAAGCAAAACAAAATAACACAAAAACAAAATAAGAAAATGGGATATCTTGTTCTGGGTTTTTGAGGAATCTCCATCCTGATTTTCATAATGGTTGTATTAGTTTACATTCCATCAGCAATGTAGAAGGGCTGGGGATTTGGCTCAGTGGCGTAGCACCTGCCTGGCAAACCATGTGGAAAGGTTCCTTTCCCCCCAGCATTTGTTACCATTTGACTTCCTGATAATGGTCATTCTTTGTGGAGAAAGGCAGAATGTTAGTGTTGTTTTAATCCGCATTAATCTAATAGCCAATCGTGTTGAGCATTTTTTTTTCATGTATTTATTGGGTATTTGTACTTCTTTTGTGAAGCGCCTGTTCATTTTACTTGTCTGTTTTATGGTCCTTTATTTTTGGGGGAGGCCTAATTCTTTTAGTTCTTTGCTTTTTTCTTCTGAAAAGCAAGGAGAGCAAGGGAGAGTTTTTGTAGGAATAATGGGAATATTAACTAAGAAGGGCACTAAAAATATGCAGCACAATGCTGGGTACTCAGAAAGGGATTAAAGTAGGTTTGCAGTAGTGTTTGTCACATTGCCAAAGACCAACATAGAGCATTTTCTGAAATCATTATAGATTTAAAAGCTGCTATGGGCTGGGGAGCTAGCTCAGCAGCCTAAGCACCTGCCTGGCAAGTGCCAGGTCCTGAGTTCAATCCCTGTTAACAAAACAAAGCAAAACAAAAAAGTTTCTATGAATGCTTTTGGCCCTGCTAAAAGACATACAGAGTTGGAGAAATAGCTTGGCAGTACACAGCTTATGTAGCATGAGTGAGGCTTGGATTTGATCCCTAGCACAACTGAGAAAAAGAGGAGACACAAAGAAAGAATTATACATATATATATGGAGGAAGAGAAAGGAGAGAGAAGGAGGGAGAGGAGAATGCAAACTATGATTTTATCTTTTTTTTTTTTTTTGGTTTTATCTTAAGGGCACATTATACTAGAATATTTCATAAGGGAGTTTCAGTATATATCTAAAGTAGTTCTGGGCCATAAACATTTCTAATATATATGGTATATTTGTAGTATTAGTATGAATACTTACAACAATAATAATTGATCTTGGGGATTCATTTCCTGGCATGCTGTGCCGGCCCCGCCCCCAGGGCTCACTGAGACTGGGACTGAGACTGGGCGTGGTGGCGCGTGCCTGTAATCCCAGAATTTAGGAGGCTGAAAAACAGGAGGATCACTACAAGTCTGAGCTGTTCAGTGAGACCCTGTACTAAATAAGTAAGTAAGTAAGTAAATAAATAAATAAATGTATTAAAAAATTGATCTTCTTCCACTCCATCTGTGTCTTGTAATAGGAGTAGTTGATCTTCTATTTCATCTCTGTCCTAAGTTACCAGTGATGGAAAATGTGCTCCTTTCAAAAAAGTTTTTATTTTTTTTAAAGAATACAAGATAATAAAAAAATAATTTTGAAACAATATAAAATTTCACTAAACAAAGTAATAGGAATTCAACAGTGCTTGTTTGTTGTATTGCATAATGGCATCTTCAGACTAGTTGTTTAGGTTACCAGACATAAAACTGCAATATTGGTTTAAAAAAGTTACAAGAAATTAAAAGAAAAAAAAACTCTTAAGCATTAACTGCTTAAGCATTTCTTTCAATAGACCAGCAGAAATCAACAGTACAGTTATCCAAGCTAAAAGTGCCTGCAAGGCCTTTTTACCAAGATGGTGTTGAAGGTGAAGAAGGAAGCCCCTGCCCCTCCCAAAGCTGGAGCCAAAGCAAAAGCTTTGAAGGCCAAGAAGGCCATGCTAAAAGACACCCACGGCCACAAAAAGAAGAAGATACAAATGTCTCCCACTTGCCACCGTCCCAAGACACTGCAGCTCCAGGGGCAGCCCAAATGCCCTGGGAAGAGCATCCTCAGGAGAAATAGGCTTGACCACTATGCCATCATCAAGTTCCCCTGACCACAGGGTCAGCCATAAAAGAGATCGAGGACAACAACACACTTGTGTTCATTGTGGATGTCAAAGCCAATAAGCAGCAAATCAAACAAGTTGTGAAGAAGCTCTAGGACATCAGTGTTGCCAAGGTCAATACCCTAATCAGGCCTGATGGAGAGAAGAAGGCATATGTTCAACTGGCTCCCAATTACGATGCATTGGGTGTTGCCAACAAAATTGGGATCATCTAAACTGAGTCCAGCTGGCTAATACTAAATACATACTTTTTTTCTCAGTTAAAAAAAAAAAAAAAGAAAAAGAGAAAATGCCTGCAGGCAGGCACAGGGGCCAGGGGTTCAACCCTGGACCTGCTGTGCTGGCCCTGCCCCTGGGGTACGCTGAGATGGCAATGGAGACTGGGCATGGTGGCTCGTGCCTATAGTCCCAGCACTTGGGAGGCTGTAAACAGGAAAATCACTATGAGTTCAATCTAGTAGTGAGGCCCTGAACTCCCTGTAGACCCTTCCCTAAAAATACAAAAAATAATTGAAGCTATCCTACATATATAAATAAGTATATGTTTCCACTTCTTTGTTTTGTCCTTTTCCTCATCCCACTTCTTCCTTCCTATTGAACAGATTTTTTCTCTTTCACAGTATCTATTGTACCTTTCAGATTTTATTTACTCTTTCAGGTTTTCACACTACTGAGACGATACAGTGTTTTCACATGCAGCTCTGATTTATTTCACTTACCAACACAGCTCTAGTTGTATCCATTTACCTATAAAAGTCTCAAATTTATATCTACTTTTTATATAGCTGAGTAACACTTCATTGTATAAAAACACTCTATCGGGGGCCGGAGAGATGGTTCAGTAGAATAAACACTTGCTTGGCAAGCACAAGGGCCTGAGTTCAATCCCTGGTTCTGCCCAAAACAAAACAAAACACCAAAAAACAGAAAACACCATATCATTTTTTTAAACCCACTCCTCAGTTGATGGGCAGGAAAATGTGTTTCTTAAAGTGAGTATTCTTGAAGAACAAAGCCAAACCCAGCCCAAGCAAACAGCGTGTCTCATGGTACATCTCTTGACCTCCACTGGGCAGGCCAACCTAAACTCATCCATCTCAAGCAGGGACTCACACTCCCTTTGGAGAACTGTCTCCATGGAAGAAAGGCATCATTGGACCCAGAACAAGTAAGAGGTGGGCTTCACTCTTTCCAGGACACGTCAGTGAAACTGTTCACGTAGGTGGTGGCATCTGATCCCCCCATCTCATCCTTGGGCCTCGTCCATCAACACCATTGTTCTCACATTATAAATGAAGAAGTGTGAAGCTCAGAGATGATAATGGGTTTTGCACTTTCTTGTTGGTGGAGCTCAGGTTTGAGCTCAGATGTGTTTGACTCCAAAACCCAAGTGCTTTCTCATTCATTGATTAAGACCATAAATTCTGTGCCTTACTTGTTGAATCACTCTGGGAAAGCCATGCGGATTTGGTTATGCTTTACTTTCCCTATCGTTAAAAGGAATTTGATAATTGTACTTGACATGGAAGGCTTCGAGAAATTTAATTGAGTTAATAACCCAATCTCTTGGAACAGTGCTGGCGTGTGGTAGGTTGTCAATAGTGTCAGCTGTTTCTACTTTCATTATGACCACCCTAAAAGTGAGGTTCAGGGAAGAAATGAACTAAAATAGCTGCAATCTACTTACTATACATAATATACTTTATAATTATGCCTCACAAAATATTAAGATATTGGCCTATTTATAATTAGACCATGTCAGTTTAAAAACACACTAAGAAATATGTTACCCTGTGCCGTTACTCTCACCTTCTAAGCTCACCACATCACCATTAATTGTATTATTCTTTGCTTCTGAACACAAGCACAGCTTAAGGATCACCAGTAACCCAGAGTTTGGGCATGCCACAATGGTATTAACTTAGGTGTCCAAACAGATTTGTGAACTAGGGCAGAGTACAGTCTAGTGCAGAGCCAAAGAGGTGACGTTATTGGGCAAAAGCTTTTTTAAAAAATCTTTTCCTATTTATTTATTGGTACAGGGTCTCACTATGCAGTTCAGACTCATAGTGATCCTCTTGTCTCAGCCTCTCTGGTGCTGGCATTACAGGTGTGCACCTCCACGCTTTGTTTTGGGGCCAGCATGGTGCGCCCGGGCGCCTGGGGATCAAACTCGGATCCTTGTGCTTACCAGGCTGGCACTTCGACCACCAACCTATCTCCCCAGACTGACCAAATGCTTTTGACAGTCAACTTTGTTCAATTCAGCATCTTCCTTCTGCTCAGCCCAAACTCGGTTGCTCCTTTGCAAATTCACATCCATGTCAGTCTTTGGTGCTCTAAAAAGTAGGTAATCTATAAAGTAGGAAGATAGGTTTGGCTCATGGGGAGGTCATGAAGAGCAGGAACATGGCATCAACAATGACTTCTGGTCACCTTGTTTGACTTCTGGCAAAAAGGGAACTTTATCTGTGCTTATGACACAGAAAAACAGGCTGAACTCAGTCTTAGGTTGGGAGCTCACTCCAGGGATAATTCACCCATCCCTTGCACAGTAGAATGAATCGACTGAGGAGATCAATACCTAATCACCTTAATCAGTTAATTGCTTAATCACCCTTCCACTTTGAAATAACGTTGGAATGGCAACGAGGGAACAAATATTCTAATCACATCAGCATCATTATTCAAGTAAGACCTTATAGCTGGAAAACATGAAACCCAACTCCCTACCTGAACCCAACCCAGAGCCTACCAAGATCCAAAAAGTCAACTATGCATGCAAGAGGCAGGAGAGAATCATGGGGGAAGTCTTAGCTGTAGTGACTGGGGAAGACCTGCCTTCTTGGTCCTAACTTCTCTTCTACCTCATCTTGCTCCTCTTGTCTCCAACAGGGGAACATACTAGAGAAGCTGAGAATTTGTTCCATGCCCAGCTTTGTCCGCTTTATGCATGACAGAGTGGCCATCATCAAGAAGGACCCTAAATTGCTGGTGACAAACCTACACTTTGGGACAGTCCCCGTGAGGCTGTTCCAGCCCAAGGCATCATCCTGCAGCCCTCGGCGAGGTGTGATCTTCTACCATGGAGGGGGCGGGTTGCTCGGCAGCCTGGGTAAGGAGCTCCCCTGGGTTATGGGAAAGGAAGGGGCTTTGGCTTCACCCGAGACCCTAAGAGAAGCTCATAGAAGAAGTCAAAGGAACCAGTAGTGGGGGTTTCTTCATGGGAGCACAGGGCAAGGGCTTGGAGCTCACTTTGGTGGATAGGTGGCCACTTCCACAGGCAGTGGCTCCTATTATATGGCAGTCTGTGTCCTGGTAGGAACAGCAATGTCCCAGGGGGGTGGTCACTGCCCTGAGAGTGACTTCTCACTCCCCTTCCATTTGAAGTCACATCTGTCCTGCTTGTTTCACAGGGACCCCTACCCATGCACTGCCCTCTACCCTGCAGGGCCACTATGTCCCCAGTCCATCTTCTCTTGCCTTCGCTCTTCTTCCCTGCATCCCACAAATGTCCCCTGCTTCACCTCTCAACCCTGGATTTAGAGTGATCTTTCAAAACACTCCTGCTGTGCTTCAGCCTCGCCAGCAGCCCTCTGTGGGCCCCAAGCCCATCCCTTCACATTTGGTGCCCCTGTTGTGCCCTCCCTGTGCCTCACCCTCTGTGTAGCTCTGGGCTGCAGATGCATCAGGCTCTTCCACCCTGTCCCTTAAGCTTTCAGTGCCATGAGGCTCTAGATTCCCCACACTGACTTTGGCTGATGACCCCTTTTCTCCAGTTTGACCAGATGGCCCAGCCAAAGGGGCCATGCTCACATCAGCGCTCAGGATTTTCTCTGCTCTGCCCTGGACCCTGTTGCATCCCTAATCTCATCCTTGTCAAATGTCTCTGTGTCACTTGTCACAATCTGAGCTGAGCTTGGTCTGCCTGTGTCCCTTGTTTACTCTTAGAATATCAAGAACTTCAGGAGTACAGCAAAGATTGCTATTGTCTTGTCTCCAATGCCTGGCTCCTGCTTTTATTGTCTAAATGAAAGATTAAACAAATGCATGAATTTAACTAGATGGATGGATGTCCAAAGGGACTAAATGTATGGATTGAATGAATGGCGCAGGATGAATGAATGATACGATAATATAAAAATTTACTTATACAGCAAAGCTTGTACAAACTCCTTTAAAAAAGGAGTTCTTACTGCTACCTGGTGGAAATAATAACATCTATCCCCAGTTATCATTTTATATCTAAAGCTGAGGCCATGGTGCTTTTTTGATTCAGAAATTAATTGTGAATGTCTCCTAGCCATGGGATCCAGTCTAAGGGAACTTCTTCCTCCTCTTAGGCCTTAGGTCAGTGGTGGGGAACCCATGGTGCTTGTGCTGCAGCTGGCTCTTTGTTATCATCAAACACTCTAAAAGTTTTGCCATCACTACCATAGATTTTCTGCCCTGCAGGTGCTTTCCTGTGCCGAGGCTTAATGTTGTATTTAGGGGTAAAAGCAGGGATGGGTCGGTAATTACATGCCGAGCATCCGTATAGGATTAAACCTTCACAGGCACAGGGGACACAGAGGAGAACAAGAAAGACCCATGTTCTGCTCTTCTGGCTTCTCAGCCAACAAGAGAGTGAGACTATGCAAGATAATTAATTAACTTAGGTCGGCGGTTTCTCATTTTGATCACGCTGCTTAAATAGAGAGTGACACAGAGTCATTGCACCCGAGTTCCTCTCAACAAACCCGTTATGTCCAAGAGGGCTGCATTTGAGCCCAGGCCCATGAGGAGCAGCCAGGACTATGGAAAGGGAGCAGTTTGGGCTTTCTGAGCCAGGGCAGGGACCTAAGACAGCCCGGTGAGGCAGACACCTCAGGCTCCAAAATGAGGGGCAAAACCTCTGAGTCGTCAGGATGAGTAACGTTGCACTTCCGCGAGATAGTTAGAGACTAATATTGGTGCAGACAATATGATGAGAAAAGCATGAAAATTCATATACCAGCAGGAGCCCCCCGGGCAAGTGGATTATACAAGGGGAGAGTCAGAGCCTGTTGATCACTTCAATTGTTCAGCTCATCATGGCATGTTTGGGGGTTAGTTTTGATGTCCTACAATACTGCATGATGCTTTTTCTCTGGAAGGCTCAGTGTCCTGGGGCCCTGGACTTGGTACTCACAGCAGATGCTGCCTTTAGTCCACCCTGACCTGGCCCTACCCAGTCTAAGTAGTAGGGCAGGATGGGTGGAGCTCTGAAGCAAAGGTAGCTTGGGCTCTAGGGAAGAAGGAAGTCTGGTGGCAGGGCAGTCAGTGAAGCTGGGCCAGTCAGTAGGGCCCAGGTCATGATCTGCATAGCTCTCGGCCTTCGCTGCCTTTGACCTCCCTAGGGAGCTTTAAGGCCCTACCCACACCACCCTCCAGGCTCACTGAGTAGGGACTGAGTAAGGACTTTAGAGTGGTCCCAGCTCTTGGGGCCCTAAAAGTTCCTAGAGGTCCTAATGTCGCTCAGTGGTACAGACCTTTGTCATAGGGTCAGACCCCTCAGCCAGAGGACCATTTAAGGCATCTGTCTCCATTTCTGCTGTCACCACCACTCTTTCCATCCCTGATGAGCATCCCCCAATCTCATAAGCTCCCCTGAACGTAGGAATGACTTGCTATGATTTAGAAGATGCTAGTGCCTGAGTCCGCATCCATAAGAGCCCGAACACAGAGATTGGGATCAGTCTGGCAGAAGACACGACAGGCTCCCTGCTGTTTCTGTGTGTTGGCAGCAGCACCTGGGAAAGGCAGTTGGAGGAGCACTTGGGATGTTCTGAGGCTCAAACTGCAGCCACATGCGCTGCTCACTAACATGAATGGATCTGCCTTCCAGAACTTCAAATACACGATCTTTTTAGTACTTTTGTCTCAGCCAGTTACGCTTAATCAGTATCAATACACAAAATACTAATATTCTCAGCAGTCACGACCAACTTGCTTAGTCCTGGCATTATCTGTGTCACCCCCCCAAGCTTTCCTGGTTCTCAGTTCCCTCATTGTCAAATTGAACACTACAAGAAGTGATGCCCAGGGTCTACTCCATCCTGGGCATTTATGAGATTGGGGTCATGTCTGGCTTTTCCCTGGCAGAGTTTGCCAGAGTCATTGCAGGGCAGGCACAGATGGGACATCACCCTGTGCCCGCATGGTGACTGCTTTCCCTGGGAATGGGTGGGAGATGCTGGGCCTTCCTCAAAGGCTTCACTGGGCCTGGTTTTGTCTTGTAGATTCTTACCACAGCCTGTGCAGTTACCTGGCCCGGGAAACAGACTCTGTGGTCTTGAGTGTGGGGTGAGTTTCCGAGACACTGCTCAGCTTTTCTGTGGGGGGAAGAAGGGGGGAGGGTGGGGGTTCCCGGATGATTGTAGAACAGCAAGCAAGGCCCTGGGAGGTGCTCATGCACGTCGGCCCCCAACACAGGCGCAGCTCCATGCGAGGCAGCGTGAGCCTGGAAAGATTCCCGCTGCAGGCTGCTGCATAGATCAGCCCCGTGTGAACGAGCCATTCCTTATAGGGCCTGAGCTGCTTTGAACCATTACATGGCCAGTAAGCAAATGCTGTGGGAAGGTGCAGCAGGATGTAAATAAGTCTTAGTAGTGCAATACTAAGGAAACTACGTTTAAAAATTTTTAGTTCAGTCAAAACAAACAAGCAAACAAAAAAAATCCCCTCCTCCCCCCCAAAAAAAAAACCACTTCTGAATTTTGTGCTTCTAATAAGGGCCTGCCCATTAGCACAGTTGTTTAAGTGACTACCTAAACAAAGCAATCAGGATGCTGTGGTTCAATCCTCAAGCCTTAACAGACCTGCCCTGAAAGCATCCTGAGCCAGCCAAAAAAAAAAAAAACCAAAAACAAAAAAAACCCCACAAACCAAAACAAACTTCTGAAAAATTTTAGTTCACGTTGATACTTTTAAAGTTAATTTTTTATCTGTTATTAGCATAATACTTACAGTATGCAATAGTGATGTTGGTTTTAGGGAATTGGTCTATGCGTATAACGTGTCTTGATAATTTTGAGCCCTTTCTCTCCTCTCTTAGACTTCTCTTCCCCTGATCTCCCTCCCTGTTTCAGAAAGTCTGCCTTCTGTTTTTTTTTAAACCCCTTTATTTTACTCATTTCTTTATTATTCCTGGTGATGTTTAGTTATGAGACTTATTTGATGTAATTTGATGGTTTCAAGTTACACCCAGTTTCCTATAAATGATATTGTTGGACTCTTCTTTAATGCTAAGCAACAGTCCATGACATGCATGCACACATACCGCATTTTCTTTCTTCATTCCTCTGCTGACAGGCAGGCAGGCTGTTTCCAGAGGTCAGCTGCTGCGCATGACATTGGTGTACACCTGGGTGTGCATGTATTAATACAGCATGACGTTTTTAACTCTCTTGGGAATATATCTAGGAGAGGAATAGCAGAGTCGCATGGAATTCCTCCTGTTTTGAGACATCTCCATCTTGATTTTCATCATGATTACAGCAGTGTATCTTCC